GAGGGGTACAGGGTGCAGGCAGGGGGCTCATGACAGGGAGTTGGGGGGCAGGAGGGTAGGCTGTTTGCAGGCAGGCCCGGGGCTGGGGATCTGGGCTCCCCCGTCCTGGCAGGCAGGAAAAAGGAGAATAAAAAAGCCCTGTAATTGTTCAGCCTTAAAACCCCAATTCCAGAGAGTACTTATGCACGTGACTAACTTAAAGTATGTGAGCCATCCCACTGCTGTTAGTGCTCCAATCAGGAACATGCTTAAATACATTGATGCATCAGTGTCCCAGTTCACAAAAATTCCATATTAAAAATAAGAGTTACTGAATGATAATTAGCCTTTCCATTCAAACAGACCACACACCACACCTGAACTCTGCCACTTTTTCCTATTCTACTTTTTACCAGGTTACTTTTCCCCAGAAAACCTTGGCAATTTGGATGTTTGCTGTAGTAGACGGTTGTATTGGAAGAGGCTAGATTGGTGCCCTTTCCCCCACTAAGCAAGAGTGCATGCATCCCTTAATACACATCAATTGTTAGTTTGTAATTAGCCTGTCCATACCCCATCAATCAGGTTTATGTGCATTCACATACCCTCTCCCCCCACCCAAATCAAATCAGGTTTGTATGTATCCAACACCTACGCACAATACACTTACTAGCACTGCCCCCGATATTAAGTTTGTGCTCACATGCACTCTTATCAGGTTTGTGCCCCCACCGCCTGATCCCATTACCTTTGCGTAGGCCCAGATCAAATTCATTCTTGGGCATACACCACAAACAAAATTACATGTGAATAATGAGAGCAGGAAGAGGCCATTTTGTATTAGGATGATCAAAGTTTCTCTTTGTCACCTCTAAAATGCAGCTCCCCATTTGGTGGAATACGTCAATCAGTTACTACTGGAATGGGGGTGGGAGAGGCGGAGCAGGGGTGGAGTTGGGGCAGGGCTGGGGGTAGAGGGGGCTTGAGCACCCACCAGCGCCACTAGAGTCTGCGCCTATGGGGGCTCAAATTTTCAGAGGTCCCTACAGCATTACTCCCTCTTAAAGCTTGGAAGGAAGGAAGGAGACAGACAGCTAGAACATAGCAGGTTTTTAGGATTTTCAGTGTCACACAAGATAGGGAAAAGAAGGAGGAGTACTTGTGGTGGCTGATACAGACTAACACAGCTACCACGCTGAAATCTGTCAAGATAGGGAAAGTTTTCCATCTTCTGGCAAAATGAAGGAACAGCAGCTTTACACATCACTCCACTGCTCTTGTCTGCAGGGTCTAGCAAGAAGAAGCTCTGCATTAGTTCACCCCCTCCCCGCATCTTCCCAAATTCATTGTTATCACTTCAATGCACGGATATTCTTACTAAGGTAACAGACATTCATACCCAACAATGCTAGTTACAGGTACTTGGGAGTAGACAGACAGGTCCCTGTAACTGTATGACAACCGTGAGTCATCATACTCTTCTTACCCTTTACATTTTCTTTATCTAATGGGGAAGGGGGGAACCTAAGGAAAGAAATGTAGGGCTTTATTAATATTTAAAAAGGGACTCTTTTTGGTTTTGATCTTCTGATTGGATGTTCACTTCCTTAACTAAAAAGTAGGAAACTGAAAGTCAAAAGAAAAGAAAACTAGAAAGTGAGGAAAGAAAAACCTTCTCCTACAGAATACTTACATTCAGAGACATGGGTCTAAAACACAGAATTCTATGAAAGACCTTGAACAGGCATCAGTTGCTCAAATTCTGCACAAAGACAGGGAATCTAAGACATCATCATGATCAGGAGGAGTTTGCTGCAATTTTGCCTCATGCTGGTCTTCTCCATTGAAATCTCACGTCCGGACTGTAACAGGCTTCATGTTCTACAAACCAGAATGAACAGTGAGAGTTTAGAGCGGCTGGAGAAAATGGGTGGAAACTTTCCCTTCCAATGTCTAAATGAAAGGACAGCTTTCAAGCCCAGAGATCCGACTGTCCCAGCAAAAGAATACCAAGGTGTGACGTTATTGATATAATCAGGGACCATATAGAATATGGTTGTAACCAAGGTCCTGTAGTGGTACCAAATCTTGTATAAAGGGGGTCCAATGAGGTGTCTTAGACAAGGGTATAGTTCGCTGTTATGATTATGCTGTCTATACATGTGTAACAATTTTGTAGTTGAAGTTATGAATATTGGCTCTATACTGTCTGTATTTCAAACTTATGCTATGCTTCTGGGAGACATCCCAGACAAGTTGGTGTTAGCTCTGCCTAGCCTGCTTGATGGCCCATTAAGGACCATCCGCTATACACAGTGAGAGAAGGCAGATACACCTTGCACTGTGAAAATATTTCCGCCACCAAACAGCTGTAGCAAGCTCCGGGACGGAGGAGGGAGGAGCAGGAACGTGGCGCGCTCAGGGGAGGAGGCGGAGAAGCGGCGGGGCCAGGGATTTGGGGAAGGGGTTGGAATGGGGATAGGAGAGGCGGGGCAGGGGTGGAGTCCGGGCCGGGCTAGGGGTAGAGGGGGCTTGAGCACCTACCAGCGCCACTAGAGTCGGCGCCTATGGGGGCTACCCCTTTTGCCCTCCCCCTACTGGCCTAAAATCAAGCTTGTGTGCTCATGGACTGCATGTTCCACCAACAACCACCAGTTTTATGAGTACAGTGCGTCAAAATTTCAGTTGTAATGTGAATAATGACTAAAAATTACCCTAAACCCAATAATTAAAAAGTATTTGAAAAACAAAAAACCAAAACAAAACTAGCCATTAGACCAGACCTAGTGAGGACCTACCTCGCTACCAAATCTGGGTACGTAGATAGTATTCTGAAGAGCTGCTACTCAATCCTAGCACTGCCTAGGACAAATTTAAGCCAGACACTAAAACTGGAGATTTCTTATTTAAAAGTTTTTAAAAGAAGTCTCACAGCCACTACATTAAATGTTCAAATAGTATAAAAACAAATGGTGTGTGAATTCTCACAATGATTGTCAATCTCCCTTTAGAGAAAAAACAGGAACATATTCCCCACTGGCAATCCCTTTTATAATGCAACCGAAAATATGGAGTTGCTAATAAGAGCGTCTGTACATTCAAAGTCAACAGATGGCGCCACTGCAGAAGCCTTTGCTTGTCTTTCCTCTGGGGTTCTAAAACAGTTCTGATGTGGGCCTAATCTTACAAAAATGGTTCTATGGACCATTTCCTCACCTCTTGGAGATCAGGTAACACCTTCGTGGCAGGTACAGCAAATGCTTACAAAGAAAAGTAGTCCTAGGAACACATTTATAGTAATTTCAGTACTAGGAACGTGAGTTCTGCCTGCTCACTGAAGACCACCATCAGGTCCTCCACGTGCCACCACCGATACATAAACCTCAACTTGGGACCTGCTGGTTTAGAGGCATGTACAAGGAGTTAACGCTTAAAACAAATGCCTATCCTTTCTTACGGTGCAGGTTTTTTTCAGTAGCTGTGCCTACCAGTCGTAGTAGTTCTTTCCTGCTCAAGTCTCTCTGCCTTCTTTCATTCCTTGGTGGAGTGGAAACCTACAGGTTATATTGACAAAACACAATTACATTAAAATGAGAGAAAAAAAATAGACTGTATAAACAAGTCAAGGATTATAAACGGATTGGTTCACAAGCTCCAAAACGTATCCCCCTCTCTGGCGGTACATGGCAGTAACAGAGCATGTGGGAGCCATACACATTCTTCTTCAAAGTCTAACTAATTCATTACCCCTATGGCGCAGAGGGGAACCTCCCGACAATCACACTGTTTTTAAGCTGTGCTACCTGGAGAAAATCAATTAATTTCTTTAAGAAGCCATTGGGCGATTTCTATCATCTATGATTTTAGGCCTTCCTGTGGGAAAGCCAACCTTAGGGGGATGAAAAGGGAGGAATACGCTACTAATAGATCCTCACTTAAGCTCGCCTTTATCCTTCCATTGGTAGGCAGGGGGAAATAGTGACAGGCTTGTCTCCAGCTTTCATCCTAGAAACAGAGGAGGCTCTGCTTTCTGTACAGAACACAAGGTGTTTCCACACAATGTAATTTTTGTGCCACTGATATTGCGAGCTACGCCCACTAGAGCTGTACTAGCACTGCCCCAAGCCCAATGCATATATGCTCACTAAAGGCCCCCCACGTGGATCATAACTGTACAAAGAACAACCCAAGAGAGAAGTAT